ATGAACAAATCCACAAGGACCATGACGAGGATTCGAACCTGCATCCGGGAGGATCCCAGACACTGCCTTAATCGACTGAGCTACGACAGAGTAAAAGGGTTGAAACTGAAGTTCTACTGAACTTACTGGATCCCGTAGCCTCTCCGAGGCACAAACCAGGCTTTTACACAACCCCCCCCCCCTGCACCCGAGCTATGTCAATAGGCCGTTCTCCCTCTTCGCCCCCGAGGTTTGTGCCTCGGAGAGGCTACGGGATCCAGTAAGTTCAGTAGAACTTCGGTTTCAACCCTTTTACCCTGTCGTAGCTCAGTCGATTAAGGCAGTGTCTGGGATCCTCCCGGACGCAGGTTCGAATCCTCGTCATGGCCCTTGTGGATTTGTTCATTTGATGCATCACGTTAGTGTGAGCTCTGTGTGTGTTAAATAATTAGTAATTTTCAAAGATAATTCAAGTAGGAAAACCCCATCCAGTAAATCAAATATACCAGTACATATCACAACCTGCTAGAACAAAAAAAAATATGCCAAATATTCTGGAATGTAATAGTACAAAAACAAAATTGATACATATTTTCTTTAAAAAAAAAAACAGCTGCTCTAACTGGAAAAATGTAAATTAAAAGTTTTTGTGTAACTTTTCACTTTGGCATTCATACAAAAATAATACATTAAAATAAAGGTTTAAATTGTAAATTACCTTAAAATAACACAATATATTTGCTCTTTTAAAAAATTTAAATATGAATATATTTATCTTTGAACCATTATATGGTACATGAGCCACCTGGGCTAGTCGGTAGAGCGACAGTCTCGCTTCATGCAGGTTGGTGTTCAATCCCCGACTGTCCAAGTGGTTGGGGACTATTCCTTCCCTTCAGTCCCATCGTAAATACCTTATCCAGATCCCTTCTAAGTGCTATTTAGTCATAATGGCTTGGCACTTCTCCTGATAGTTCTTTTCCCTATATGCAACATGTTTTCCTTCTCAAGCTCCTTGAGAAGCCTTGAGGCATTGTGGGCAGGTAGGAGGCATGGAGGGGGTGGTAGGAGCCATGGAAGGGTGGGCTGGTAGGAGGCATGGAGGGGCTGGTAGGAGCCATGGAGGGGCTGGTAGGAGGCATGGAGGGGCTGGTAGGAGCCATGGTGGGCTGGTAGGAGGCATGGAGGGGCTGGTAGGAGCCATGGAGGGGCTGGTAGGAGCCATGGAGGGGCTGGTAGGAGGCATGGAGGGGCTGGTAGGAGCCATGGAGGGGCTGGTAGGAGGCATGGAGGGGCTGGTAGGAGCCATGGTGGGCTGGTAGGAGGCATGGAGGGGCTGGTAGGAGGCATGGAGGGGCTGGTAGGAGGCATGGAGGGGCTGGTAGGAGCCATGGTGGGCTGGTAGGAGGCATTGTGGACTAGTACGAGCCATGGTAGGCGGCATGGTGGGCAGGAAGGAGGCATGGTGGGCTGGTAGAAGCCATGTTGGGCTGATATATGGGTCATATTTTGCCCAAACCCCCCTGCAGTTGGTGGTGGGGGGGGGTTAGGGTACCTTTTACCAGGAGAAATGGAGGGCTGGTAGGAGCCATGGTGGGCTGGTAGGAGGCATGGTGGGCTGGTAGGAGCCATGGTGGGCTGGTAGGAGCCATGGTGGGCTGGTAGGAGCCATGGTGGGCTGGTAGGAGGCATGGTGGGCTAGTAGGAGCTATGGAGGGCTGGTAGGAGGCATGGTGGGCTGGTTGGAGGCATGGAGGGCTTGTAGGAAGTATGGTGGGCTGGTAGGAGCCATGGTGGGCTGGTAGGAGGCATGGTAGGCTAGTAGGAGCTATGGAGGGCTTGTAGGAGGTATGGTGGGCTGGTAGGAGCCATGGTAGGCTTGTAGGAGGTATGGTGGGCTGGTAGAAGGTATGGTGGGCTGGTAGGAGCCATGGTGAGCTGGTTGGAGCCATGGTGGGCTGGTAGGAGGCATGGTGGGCTGGTAGGAGGCATGGTGGGCAGGTAGGAGTCATAGTGGGTTGGTAGGAGGCATTGTGGGCTGGTAGGAGGCATTGTGGGCTGGTAGGAGGTATGGAGGGGCTGGTAGGAGCCTTGGAAGGTTGGTAGGAGGCATGGAGGGGGCTGGTAAGAGGCATGGTGGGCAGGTAGGAGGCATTGTGGGCTAGTAGGAGCCATGGTGGGCTAGTAGGAGCCATGGTGAGCAGGTAGGAGGCATGGTGGGCAGGTAGGAGGCATGGTGGGCAGGTAGGAGGCATAATGGGCTGGAAGGAGGCATAGTGGGCAGGTAGGAGGCATGGTGGGCTTGTAGGCGGCATGGTGGGCTGGTAGGAGCAATTGTGGACTGGTAGGAAGCATAGTGGGCATGTAGAAGGTAAGGTGGGCGGGTAGGAGCTATGGTCGGCTGGTAGGAGGCATGGAGGTGCTGGTAGGAGCCATGGTGGGCTGGTAGAAGGCATTGTGGGCTAGTAGGAGCCATGGAGGGGCTGGTAGGAGGCATGGTGGGCAGGTAGGAGGCATGGAGGGGCTGGTAGGAGGCATGGTGGGCAGGTAGGAGGCATGGAGGGGCTGGTAGGAGCCATGGTGGGCTGGTAGGAGCTATGGTGGGCTGGTAGGAGGCATTGTGGACTAGTAGGAGCCATGGTGGGCTGGTAGGAGGCATGGTGGGCTGGTAGGCAGCATGGTGGGCTGGTAGGAGCCATGGTGGGCTGGTAGGAGGCATGGAGGGGCTGGTATATGGGTCATATTTGGACCAAACCCCCCTGCAGTTTTCAAAATATCTGAAATATCGAAAATTTGACTCCTGAGCGTGATTTTTTAGTCGAATTCTGACTCTCTGCAACTATTTTCATTTTTAAATTACGAATTTTTATGCCGAAAATATGCCAATTACTGAAAACGGAGATGGGTCATATTTTGACCAAACCCTCCTGCAGTTGGTGGTGGTGGGGGGGGGGTTTATGGTACCTTTTACCAGGAGAAATGGTGGGCTGGTAGGAGCCATGGTGAGCTGGTAGTAGCCATGGAGGGCTGGTAGGAGGCACGGTGGGCTGGTTGGAGGCATGGAGGGCTTGTAGGAGGTATGGTGGGCTGGTAGGAGCCATGGTGGGCTGGTAGAAGGCATGGTGGGCAGATATGAGGCATGGTGGGCAAGTAGGAGCTATGGAGAGCTTGTAGGAGGTATGGTGGGCTGGTAGGAGTCATAGTGGGTTGGTAGGAGGCATTGTGGGCTGGTAGGAGGCATGATGGGCTGGTAGGAGGTATGGAGGGGCTGGTAGGAGCCATGGAGGGTTGGTAGGAGGCATGGAGGGGGCTGGTAAGAGGCATATTGGGCTGGTAGGAGGCATGGTGGGCAGGTAGGAGTCGTAGTGGGTTGGTAGGAGGCATTGTGGGCTGGTAGGAGGCATTGTGGGCTGGTAGGAGGCATGGTGGGCAGGTAGGAGGCATGGTGGGCAGGTAGGAGGCATGGTGGGCAGGTAGGAGGCATGGAGGGGCTGGAAGGAGGCATGGAGGGCAGGTAGGAGGCATGGTGGGCAGGTAGGAGGCATGGTGGGCAGGTAGGAGACATGGTGGGCAGGTAGGAGGCATTGTGGGCTAGTAGGAGCCATGGAGAGCTGGTAGGAGGCATGGTGGGCTGGTAGGAGGCATGGTGGGCAGGTAGGAGGCATGGTGGGCAGGTAGGAGGCATGGTGGGCAGGACGGAGGCATAGTGGGCAGGTAGGAGGCATGGTGGGCTTGTAGGCGGCATGGTGGGCTGGTAGGAGCAATTGTGGACTGGTAGGAGGCATGGTAGGCTGGTAGAAGTCATGGAGGGACTGGTAGGAGGCATGGTAGGCTGGTAGAAGTCATGGAGGGACTGGTAGGAGGCATGGTGGGCTGGTAGAAGTCATGATTACTTGACCAGAGAGGGGGTACATACCAGTATGATTCCCGCTCACACAACTAGATGAGTAATGATGATGTATGGTTGACGATGGTGCTCCGTCGTCGCCTTTCCACTTGGTGATTCTCTAAGTGCTAGTAGATTGACGATGTCGATTCTTTTCTACACAAATCTCTGGAGTCACAGTCACCACCCAACAAACACAGACACAGTTCCACGGCGGGCCGTCCCACCTGGCCGTCAGGTCAGGATGTGTGTAGGTGTGTAGGTGTGTGTATGTGTGTAGGTGTGTGTATGTGTGTAGGTGTAGGTGTGTGTATGTGGGTGTGTGTATGTGTGTGTGTGTGTGTGTGTGTGTGTGTGTGTAGGTGTAGGTGTAATTACCTAAGTGTAATTACCTAAGTGTAGTTACAGGATGAGAGCTACGCTCGTGGTGTCCCGTCTTCCCAGCACTCTGTCATATAACGCTTTGAAACTACTGACGGTCTTGGCCTCCACCACCTTCTCCCCTAACTTGTTCCAACCGTCTACCTCTCTGTTTGCGAAAGTGAATTTTCTTATATTTCTCATGTGAGTACTCAGTTTCCACCTGTGTCCCCTTGTTCGCGTCCCACCAGTGTTGAATAGTTTATCCTTGTTTACCCGGTCGATTCCTCTGAGGATTTTGTAGGTTGTGATCATGTCTCCCCTTACTCTTCTGTCTTCCAGTGTCGTAAGGTGCATTTCCCGCAGCCTTTCCTCGTAACTCATGCCTCTTAGTTCTGGGACTAGTCTAGTGGCATACCTTTGGACTTTTTCCAGCTTCGTCCTGTGCTTGACAAGGTACGGGCTCCATGCTGGGGCTGCATACTCCAGGATTGGTCTTACATATGTGGTGTACAAGATTCTGAATGATTCCTTACACAGGTTCCTGAACGCTGTTCTGATGTTAGCCAGCCTCGCATATGCCGCAGACGTTATTCTTTTTATGTGGGCTTCAGGAGACAGGTTTGGTGTGATATCAACTCCTAGATCTTTCTCTCTGTTCGTTTCATTAAGTACTTCATCTCCTATTCTGTATCCTGTGTTTGGCCTCCTATTTCCACCACCTAGTTTCATTACTTTGCATTTACTCGGGTTGAACTTCAACAGCCATTTGTTGGACCATTCACTCAGTCTGTCTAGGTCATCTTGTAGCCTCCTACTATCGTCCTCAGTTTCAATCCTCCTCATAATTTTTGCATCATCGGCAAACATTGAGAGAAACGATTCTATACCCTCTGGAAGATCATTTACCTATATCAGAAACAGTATAGGTCCAAGGACTGACCCCTGCGGTACTCCACTCGTAACGTCTCGCCAATCTGAGACCTCACCCCTCACACTGACTCGTTGTCTCCTGTTACTTAGGTATTCCTGTATCCAACGGAGTACCTTCCCTTTCACTCCAGCCTGCATCTCCAGTTTTTTCACTAGCCTCTTGTGTGGCACTGTGTCAAAGGCTTTCTGACAATCCAAAAATATGCAGTCTGCCCACCCTTCTCTTTCTTGCCTTATTTTTGTTGCCTGGTCGTAGAATTCAAGTAACCCTGTGAGGCAGGACCTGCCATCCCTGAATCCATGTTGATGCTGTGTTACAAAGTTCTTTCGCTCCAGATGTTCCACTAGCTTTCTTCGCACAATCTTCTCCATCAACTTGCATGGTATGCAGGTTAGGGACACTGGTCTGTAATTCAGTGCCTCCTGCCTATCCCCTTTCTTGTATATCGGGACTACGTTAGCTGCTTTCCAAATTTCTGGCAGCTCCCCTGTTGCCAGTGATTTGTTATACACCATGGAGAGCGGGAGGCACAGTTCTTCTGCTCCTTCCTTTAGTATCCAAGGGGAGATTCCATCTGGACCTATAGCCTTTGTCACATCCAATTCTAGTAAACACTTCCTTACTTCCCCGCTGGTAATCTCAAACTCTTCCAGTGGTTCCTGGTTAGCTATTCCCTCTCTTATCTCTGGGATTTCTCCTTGCTCCAAGGTGAAGACCTCCTGGAATTTCTTATTCAGTTCCTCACACACTTCCTTGTCGTTTGTAGTGAATCCTTCTGCCCCTAACCTTAATTTCATAACCTGTTCCTTTACTGTTGTTTTTCTCCTGATGTGGCTATGCAGCAATTTAGGCTGAGTCTTTGCCTTGCTTGCGATGTCATTTTCGTATTGTCTTTCTGCCTCTCTTCTCATCCTAACATATTCATTCCTGGCATTCTGGTATCTTTCTCTGCTCTCCAGTGTCCTGTTATTCCTATAGTTTCTCCATGCCCTTTTACTTTGCTGCTTAGCTAGCCTACATCTCTGATTAAACCATGGGTTTCTCATCTTCATTTCACTGTTTTCCTTTTGGACTGGGACAAACTTGTTTGCTGCATCCTTGCATTTTTGCGTGATGTATTCCATCATATCTTGGGCCGTCTTTTCCCTGAGCTCTGTTTCCCATGCTATATCTGCTAGGCATTTTCTTATCTCCTCATAGTTTCCCTTTCGGTATGCTAACCTTTTGGTTTCGGTATCCCTTCTCGAGTTCAATAACCCTTCTTCAATCAGGTACTCAAACACCAATACACTGTGGTCGCTCATTCCTACTGGGTCCTCAAAACTGATTTCTCTTATGTCAGAGTCGTTCAGGGTGAAAACCAGGTCGAGTCTCGCTGGTTCGTCGTTTCCTCTCGTCCTTGTGGGTTCACTGACATGCTGGGTTAAGAAGTTTCTAGTCGCCACCTCCAGTAGTTTGGCTCTCCACGTATCCTCGCCTCCATGCGGTTCCTTGTTCTCCCATTCTCCCACACACGGTTCCTTGTGTGTGTGTGTAGGTGTGTGTGTGTAGATGTGTGTGTGTAGATGTGTGTGTGTAGATGTGTGTGTGTAGATGTGTGTGTGTAGATGTGTGTGTGTAGATGTGTGTGTGTAGATGTGTGTGTGTAGATGTGTGTGTGTAGATGTGTGTGTGTAGATGTGTGTGTGTAGATGTGTGTGTAGGGGTGTGTGTGTAGGGGTGTGTGTGTAGGGGTGTGTGTGTAGGGGTGTGTGTGTAGGGGTGTGTGTGTAGGGGTGTGTGTGTAGGGGTGTGTGTGTAGGGGTGTGTGTGTAGGGGTGTGTGTGTAGGGGTGTGTGTGTAGGGGTGTGTGTGTAGGGGTGTGTAGGGGTGTGTAGGGGTGTGTAGGTGTAGCAGGAGAACGGAGCAAAGGGAAATCACGAAAGTGGTGCTCAGGAGTAACAGTCCAATACTGAAATGATGTACTGTAGCTAGAAAAGTCATGATTTTGCTTGAGTAATATGTTTAAAACTTTTACAAATACGGTACTTTAAATAAATATTAATTCTGTACATTAATACTGTACCAGCTTTATGCACTTTCAACACTTTCACTCGTTTGCTAATTAAGCAAGAAGTCTGTTTTTGTTATCAAACCTCGAATATCTTTTCAGTTTTAATATTCACGAACTAGTGACTAACATCAGGGATTATAACAACAATCTACAATAGTTCCCTGGCACATCGGTTCACTCCTATACTGCACAATCAATGAATTACTGGGCTTTCCAAAGTAAACTTTTTACAATACAATAATGCCTAAACCGACTTCTCAATAAAGATAGAATACCTGTATAGTTCCAGCAGTATTAATGTTTAATAGCTATATAGTACACACAGTGTTTTTATCATTACAAACATTATTTTATCTGAACACCTAAAAATTGTAATTAGGTAAAATTATTTTATTAAATAAAAAATATATCTATTGAAGAGGCAAGACTGGCCCAGGACCAGTCTTAGACCAGAGACCAACCAATATCAAAAACAAATGTTTACATTTGTGAACACAATTTAAAACCGTTTAGTTTACACAGTTTAAAACTGTGTTTTAAACTAAAACACAGTTTAAATTACTGTGTTGTAATGAAATTCATTTGCAATAAATTAAAATTCTCTTAAAAAATCCATTTCAATTACAGACTTTTCAGTTAAAAACTAATTTAATTTTAGACTTAAAATATTGGAAAAGCTAATTTAAAAAGAAATAAGACGTTATGTACAATAATTACATGCAATTATTTTTTACAAGAAAAAAAAAAAAGACCTATGGTATATAAATACTGACATATTTAAGATTGTCAATTTTACTTTCGTCTTAAAATTTCAAATGCAGTCAATCTCTGTACTTAACACCAATAAAGCCACCTTGCAATTTTTGTGAACTTTATGATACGCGGCAGAAAGTGGAACCTTCTTCAATCTCACTACGGATATCACCCGACAGCATGAAATTAACAATAGCCCGCGCCAAGTAGCTCGTCACAGCGACTTGTGATGCATTGTAGAAAGACGACATGTCATTTGTCCAGTCTCTACCCAAGTCCTGAAGAAATAAAGACATTTTAAAGTACTGCAGAGGAACAAGAAAAACAGTCCTGCTGAATGATGCAAAAAATAATTACAATATTTAATTACAAGAAAGTACAATTAAAAATAGAATTTAACCCAAAGTTAAACACTCCAATACACCCTTCTTGATACACCACCAAAAATAAACTTTTTAATCCTTTTTAAACTCTTTGACACCTAAACAACTTCACCTTAAACAGTTTGGTGCTATGACCATTATCAGTCTAGTATCCATTAATAAAAATTGGAAACTGCATATCTAGAAAATATTTTGAATACAGTAAACACAAAAAAACTTAAAAACATGTATGTTTTTAGACATTTTACAATAAACTCCTGAACAGCTGGTTATTCAATTTAATAACTTAATAATACTGTACTGTACCTGTACTGTATAGTACAGCCATTTATAGATGTTACAAAATTTAAGGTACTGTACATTATTAACCAGTTTATAGTTTTCAAAGAGAGACATTTGTCCAAACTGAAAAAAGCAGTTCAGGAAAAGGGAGTTTTAAAAATATTAAAAATGCCAACCATACCATACCTTTCAATTTCAACGGTATCACCGAGATCCAGCACTCTGAGCCAGCCAAGGCAGTAATTTCACCACTTTGTAGGTGCATGATACTCTCATGAATTGTCTTTTACAAAAGTGGCATATAATTACTCATTCCCTTTTAAACAGATTACCCTTATTCTTGTACAATATTGTTTCACGCTGCTTCTTCATACTCACTATACACTTCCTCCCACACTCATTTAGCCATGCCTGTCGGTATCCTTCTTGAATACACACTGTCTTCCAACAGCCATTTATCTCACAACAAAACCGACGCAGTACTCTCATTATTCTTACAAGTTACCAACTTTGCCATTCTACATATTGTCTTGGCATTCCCTATTATATCCATCAAGCATACCACATGCTGCTTTAGCTCCATCTTTCATGCTCTCGCCACAACAGCATTTCATTTCATTTATCCACATGTACGAGTTGGCACTACCACCCACTAATGCAATGATCTATTCACATCCTATCTTGTTTTAGCAAACAAGGCCTTTCATTGCAGCAACTATATTAAAGCAATGTTGCATACTTTTCATCAATCCATTTGCATAAATTCCTCTTAAAAAATCACATTCAATGTATTTAAACTCAAACTTCCAGAAGCACTAAATATGCCATTCACAGGATTGCATGCAAATTTTCATTGCTCTCCATGCCTATGAACCTAAGCATGCACAATTATAAAACATATAAAACCTAAACAATTAATACAAGTTTGCAGTTTAAATGCTACCCTGAACCTGAATTACACAATCTAAGAAACCAGTAATATCACATGCATATGTGAAAGGAACAAAAGAAAATCCACCTTACCTTTAAAAACATCTTAAAAGCCTCCTTGACAATCTCATCCAAGTTCAATTCATGAGGGAATTTGAGCTCAGGATTTCTCTCTAGTATCGTTGCTACCACTGAGAAAAGCTGAAAAACAAATAACAAGTAAAACCTCAAAATAGACACTTGTTTAAATCATAAATAATAAGATCTGTATTTCAGAGTAAATATATATAGAGAGGAGACACAAGAGAAACTACCTATAAAAGAGAATGTGTTTATCTATCCAAGGTTGGAGGCCAGAAGCTTGGGGCTACTCTCACCCAACTTTGCAACACAACACACAGCGAGTATGGAACTGTCGGGTCAATTGGGATCAGCCCCAGTGCCACCCTTAAAAGAAATATTGGCATCAATAGTGACCCCTGCAAATTTCACTGATATTGATTATTTGTTTTCCTGTACAGTTTCCTTTTTAGCATTTTCTTGTAGCTGCTAAATTTGTTATATAGACAAGAGGAGAGAGAGAAGGAAGTGGGGAAGACAGAGGGGCAGCAAATACATGGAAAGAGGGACTTTTGTTGCCCATACTAACTTGTTAACTAGTCTCTTACACCAACAAGGTTTACATGTAGTACTACTACTGAAATAATGTCCACAAATGATTGAAGAAGAATGTCATCCTACTTGAGTTAACAGTACAGTACCTCAACAACAATTTGTCGATATTCAGGGTGTTGAATGCGGTTGAGAAGCGACTGGACAGCAAGAACAAAGTTTAATTCTCCACACGACATTTCAGAGATGGTGGGTTGTTGTGGAAGTAACTGGTCACAAAGACGAAGTCCCTGTGAAGTCTTGGACAAAATGTTAAATACCTGAAGAAAAAAAAAATATATATTAATTAAGCAAAGAGAGCATTTGGAGTACCCCACAACCAGTATATTGAAGTTGTATTTATCAGTCAAATTTACTGTACAAAGCAAAAACAAAGAAAATTTTGAGTATGGCAAGTAGTTTATAAATGAACTACTGTATCAACTGCAACATTAAACAATAATTATAACAAATTACCTATTCAGAATCCTATTGGGCATCGTGCTCATACTGCTAATCATGGCTTAAAAATAATCAGTCATATAGCAGGTCATGTTTAGTATGTACAGCAAAAGTATTCAACATCGGTACATGTTAAGGAAATGCTTGAGAGAGGAAGTAGATTAGTGCCTGGCAGTGATGGTGTGAACAATTCACACTATTTGGGCCATAACATTGTTGGGGAAGTGCTCTGGCATGTGCTAATTGCTGGGTATTACTGTATGAACAAATGGTTTGTTATTGTTTTCCCCAGTGAAGAGCAGAGGTGCCATAGGCACAATCAGAGAACACACTATAAACACCAGAGGTCTGCGGTTGTTCAATGTCCTCCCAGCGACTATAAGAAATATTGCCAGAACAACCGTTGCCATCTTCAAGTCATGTCTGGCCACGGGCCGGGATTGGGGAGTAGAAGAACTCCCAGAACCCCATCAACCAGGTATCAACCAACCTCTAACTCTTAGTAAACAAACAAACCTTTTCATAAAACCTTTTGGGTGTTCGTCCTAGACATCCATCAATGACTCGAATTTGTTGTGGACATAATCTGAAAATATAAAAGAAAATGACGTTAAGTGTAATAATTTAAATAAAAATAATACCCATCCATTTACCATACATAACGCACTTAAAATCCAAGAACAAACATGATCATAATGAAAATGCAACTATAAAGGCAGATTTGGGATATAATTCCAGCACTTACAAGAACATACAAACAGATAGAGGAAATAAGACAAGAGGACACTGGTGGATATTAGAAATACAAATGTGGACAAATACTGTACACCAATCCTTAAGGTCAAATACAAAACAATTTGAATGTCAAGATATTTAAAAATGCTTTAAGTTTCAAAAAGTTACACTAGGCAAAGAGCTACGCATTACTCTCCATAGACACTAAAAGCTAAGCAAGTCAATAAAATCACTCTGAGCAACTGTATAGCCATTTCCAATACTGTACAATGAAAACCTACTTTTCCTTTTGTGCCCACTCGTCTAAGGAGAGCACCTTGACGACCAATCGTCGGACTTCATTTGGCGCCAATGACTCTACAGTTTCCTTTCTTTTGCACACATCATGCAAGTAATAGGACATGGCTTTGATCACCCATCTGTATAGAAAAACTTTCATTATAATCATAAGAAACATTGATAAAACTTGTATCTTTAATTCATCAAGCCTAATTTAACAAGGTACTCTTTTATTCTTCAGTTGCAATATGTGAAATACAGATTAATAAAGACAACAACTAAAATGTAGATCTCTCAAATGAACCAGTACTGTGTATATTTTTAAAGAATTTGAAAAAACAATCCAGACAAAAAAAATGGTCCCTTACCCAACTCTAATGTTCAAAATGCCATTGAAGAGCTGCGTGTGTGTAGCAATAAGTTTGCCACAGTAGAGTACAACTTCTTGCTGCAGAACTGCTTGTACAACACTATGGCCCTGCCAATACAATACACGCCTATAACTGAACATGTTTACGAAACAACAGTAATAGGATAAAAACCCACACTTCTGTATACAGTATGTGAAATTGTGTATTTAAAGGTTACAAAACATACAAGACAAATGCCTAAAGGTTATGGTTCTCTTTAAGCTCCTCCGCTTCTGGACAGGAACCGAGGACGCAGCAAGCATTTCCCCTCTGGATCGCCACACTGAGACGCTGAAACAAAAAACTGGAAGCCCTTGGGTCTCTGGTGACGTCAATGAGCTTGGAACCCAATTCCTTGAGAAATCCCAAGGCACAATCCCAAGGGTTGAAATTTATGTAAGGAATTTACAGAGTGCTTGATAAAGCAATCAGCTGATTGCAAAAGACCGTGTAAATTCCTTACATAACTTTCACATATACACAAGTGTGTGTTTTTATCCTATGTTATGTCTGTGAGAAGACATTACCATTACTACAATGGTAATGTTTTAGCAATTGCAATTTCATTATCTAATCATGTTTATTTACACATGCTAAAAAATACAATTTTCCCCACTCATCACTTTTTTTAATATGTTAATTACAGAATAGACTGCAGGAAAGACAGGTTCCCAGTCAACAGATTATGGAAAAATTAGCTATAATTTCCAATAAATCTCTGTTAGCTTCTTTAAGACTGGAGATCATAGAGACCACTAGACTAAGCTTTGCCTCCGGACCTTTGTTGATTGGACAAAGATGTACTGAGCTTTTGGGAGTTTCAAGGATGGTTAGTGGCCTATGTCTAGCCTTGAGAGTTCATCCCTAGATTGTTAGGGCCTTCCTTTGTAGTTCTGAGTTGGGTTGTCTGATGTTTCTACCTATCCAATGTGCTACTTTCTGGACCCTTTTTTATGCCCTTTATTGGGCTTTGTGATGCTCTGGGTGACATGGTTGCTGCCATATACTTGTTTGATTTGTTAAACTTGGGAGGTGGCCTCTGAGGAATGCTCTGCTTCTGGACGTGGACCGTGGCCTCCCTGCAAATCTCTTTCTTCTTTTTGTTTGGTAGTTTTGCTTTGTGATGCCTCCTGCTAGTGATGGCATGGTGAGCTGGTAGGAGGCATGGAGGAGGCTGGTAGGAGCCATAGTGGGCTAGAAGAAGGCTTGATGGGCAAGTAAGAGCCATGGTGGGCTGGTAGGAGGCATTGAGGGGCTGGTAGGAGGCTTGATGGGCAGGTAGGAGCCATGGTGGGCTGGTAGGAGGCATCGAGGGGCTGGTAGGAGCCATGGTGGGCTGGTAGGAGCCATGGTGGGCAGGTAAGAGGCATGGTGGGCTGGTAGGAGCCATGGTGGGCAGGTAAGAGGCATGGTGGGCTGGTAGGAGGCATGGTGGGTTGGAAGGAGCCATGGTGGGTTGGAAGGAGTCATGGTGGGCTTCTCAAGGAAGCTGGCTTAGGGACACACACACTACTCTGGGTTTGTTTTAGTGTCCCTCCTTGTTTCTGAGGCCTCCTTTGCTTTCATGCTAGTCAAATTTTGTGGGCTACTGCACCACGTGAATGTGAAGAGGGAGCTCTTCACCCTAGCTCCCTGGGAGCTTCAGGGAGGTAGAGTGGGCCAGCACACAAACTGACAAACTGAAGGAATGATCCAATACCATTTTTTAGAAAAGCAAAAAGTGTTGGGGACATTTTGCAATGGTTGTTTGAATTTAACCCAAGCAAATGTAATGTAATGAAGACAGGTGTAGGGAGCAGGAGGCCAGATACACGGTATCATTTGGGAGATGAAATTCTTCAAGAATCAGAGAGAGAAAGAGAAAGATCTGGGGTTGGATATCACACCAGACCTGTCCCCTGAAGCCCATATCAAAAGGATAACCGTGGCATTTTTTTTTTGTGTCAGTACTTGACAACTGGAATGCATTAGGAAGTGATGTGGTGAGGCAGACTCCATATACAGTTTCAAGTGTAGATAGGATAGAGCCCACTAGGCTCAGGAACCTGTATATCAGTTGATTGACAGTCGAGAGGCGGGATTAAAGAGCCAGAGCTCAACCCCCACAAGCACAACTAAGCGAGTACACAAACACCACACGTGGACAAACAGAAGCTATGATGTATGCACAATCTAAATTTTTGCCAACTGTATTTCTCCACTTCTTAATGTGGAAGGAATAAGAGGCAACACTTGAGAATGAGGAACGAGTAATGTACCTGAAGAGCTGGTGTGTAGAAGAGATCGTGTATTTCTGACGGTTGAACCGGTTTATCAAGGAGGATCTCATCCTTGCCATAACCAGCTGTTAACTGTAATTATATAAATTATTACATAAATAAAATAATAATAGTAATAGTATAATAAAGTTTACAACTATGGTAATTTCATCAAATTTTTTTAATAAAATTCTGAGCATTCCTGGCATGCAGTTTATAAACTAATTAAATATTGCAAGAAATACAATATTTCCTTTTTAAGACATCTACAAAAGTGTATTGGTCACATAATATAAATGACTAAATCAAACTTTGCTGTAGTTGCAAAATAAGTTCAAATGCTCTTAAGGTTATTCTTAGCACCATTAGTCAAGAAAATAGTAAACAACTGAACATTTATAGTGATACATATTAACCTAGTCATTGTTTAAGGAATTAAGAATAGCAGTAACTCAAAGACAATGAATGGAAGCTGAAGCAATTATATATTCAGTTACAAAAACATAACACTGTAAATGTCAAGTGACATCCATCTAAAACTTTCAAATTACATTTATACTTACAAAAGACAATCATATACATATTATGAAAACAATAACCATGAAAGAAAATGAAGCAGGAAATACTAGATCACTTGTGTATGTGTGTGTTCAAGCACATCCTTGGAATGAGTTGAAATGAGGGATGAAATAGGCACGAAAGTGCTCGAGTATTTCCTACTTCATTTTCCTTCACGATTATACGATTTCATATAAATCATCACAAGGGAATTTCGTGATTTACGCACAAATATTTCACATTATACTGTATAAAGAATGCTAGCTGCCGAAATAAATGGAATGTGTGCACAGTGGGAAGGTTAAGAACGAGTGATAAAGATGAGTGTGCTATTTGATACATTTCTCAAGGCATCTCAAGTGTCAGAGCTTGCTGTACAAGATTTGTGTATCATAGATATGAAGACAATAGTAGGCTTAATACAGTGTTATAATATGATCAAATCTGTTATGACTAAGAGATTTAAGACTGCTAGTAAGATATAAGAATATGTGGTAGTATGTTTAAAAGTGTTAGCAAAACCATTTTGCTTGGGCAAAACAAGACAAAAAAAACAACAACAACAAAGTCAATCAGTTGGTAAGACATCCAATAATACTACAATAAATACAGTCAGAGATTTATAAGCAATACAACTGAACCACCAACTGACAAATCACAGGTTACATTTTTAACAGTTTTATCCACTACCTGAACAGCCATTTTTTTTTTATCTTGTTTTTCCGGAGAAAAAGGCAATGATGGCTGCTTAGGTCAGATGTTTTGGGGAAAACTTTGCAATGTTCCTCTGAATTCAATGACAAATTAGTCACCAATAAATGTTTCACCAAAGCAAACCAAAATTGCTCCTCTTCTACAAGACTTCTGGGACTACAACCAAATTGGGGAAGAGACTTAAGTCTACCAAAAGAGTTTCTGAACCTCAACAATAAAAAGAAGCCAGAGCTGTACAAGATGAACACAGTTAATTTCTTAGCTTTATGTGAATAGTTGGCTCTCAAGACGGTGGTCTGAGTGCATGCTTGTATATAAAGTTTGTAGGATTTTTTTCCATGTCTGCTTATATAACTAGAATTATATCTCCGCACCAATAAATATTGTCCCTCTAATGTTTACAAATACCTGTAATATTAATTTGCCTAGAAAATTGTTAATGACTGACTTTAAACCATCAGTTTCATTTTATACCATGATACTGTAAGTCCAATATATATAAAGCTAATGATTGAAAGCAATAAATATATTCTCTCAATACAACCCAAACAGTCTTGTCATTAGAATATCTAAATTATGAGCAATACAATACAATCTTCATCAACACAAACTCTTATCCTTACTTTGATCTAACTGTAGCAATAATTATTATCCTTACTTTCATCTGTGTTAATACCTTTATAATTAACAATCATTAAACAAAAAGAGCATAATGGAATTCTATTCAAAAATCAAATTAATATGGCATAAAATTCCCCAACTTAAAAATCCAGCGAACTTTTGCTAGCAATACTTCACAGCTACATGAATCATGTACCCCATTTGAACACAGCTAAAACACAGCAGACAAATGAGAGACATGGGACATTTTCTCAAACTATCTGTGGAATCTCAGTTCCTGGCATTACCTGTTTTCCTGAAACTAAGACAGTAGTGATGTAAGGCGAGATTGACTCCACCTCCTTGGTGAGCAATGCAGTACACTCTCGCACTGCGGCCCAGTATCGGAGAGAGGAAGCCTGATGGAGCAGTGCACGAACTCGGTCTTGTACTGATGAAGGGTAGGGAAGGGCAGCATGCATATAAAATGAGAAACGAGTTAAGAGTTAAGCAGGCAGGGAGAAGCAGAGGAAAAAACCAGCGTTGAATGTAATGAAACGCCTTTTTCTGGGTGAGCCCCGGAGGCTCCCTGAAGCTATCCGAACTGATATGTGCTAAATTTGTTTGGGGTCATCAGTCACACGAGTCCTTATGCCTACCGGGGACCACGAGCCAAAACCTGGCCCCCCTCAGAAAGCCACAGGGAGCAAATGAGCATTTTATGAACATTTTACATTTAAAGCACACTATGTCATAATTGCCATCAACTGTGGAAGGCCCCAGAAAGGTAAGTGAATCAAAACAACCACCATCTGGTTAACCTAACAATCTACATCCGAAAAGATGAAAATAACTCCCCTAGGAAGAAACCCAACAAGCAACACTTCATGTAACTAGCACTCCCGCTCCTTAACATTACCCCCCCCCCCCACATAGGGGGAGTAAGGGGGAGCCGGCAGCCCCCCACTCCAGTTCATGAGCGATGAAAACCACCGACCAGAGTGAGGGATGGTTTCAGGGAGCCTCCGGGGTTCACCCAGAAAATGGCATTTCATTACATTCAATGCTGGTTTTCTGTAGGAAGCCCCTTTGGCTTGCTGAAGCTAACTACCTAAAGATAAGTAAATGGAGGGACTTACCCAAGAGGTGGCAGCACCGCAGGTCTCAAGACGAGGAAGAGAAATATGGCTGTGACAGGTTCCCCAAAACTACACACGGCCGGGAAGGAACCGGAATGTTCACGAGACACATAGTGGCCAGGACTGTTCGATCACCAAAAACCCCCGCGCCCGAATGTCGACCCAAGACATGTTGCTAAAAACTGCTGCGAGAGCAGCATACTTCTTAACATCATGGGCACGAGGGTAGACCGCAAGCTGGCTAAACTTGATGACACTGCAGAAAACCTGAGACACACAAGCCCTAGAAGAGGGAACCAAGGAAAACAGATCCACCCAGAGAGCGTCCACTGGAACAGAACCAGTTGCCTGCAGGTAGTAGTGCCAGCTATCTCATTGTACACCAGAAAAGAAGGCAGCAAATAAACAAAATGATCACCTGGACCAAATGAACAGAACCCCCAGCATCATAGGAGAGCATGAAGCTCCCAATCCGACCCCCAGAGGCAAAGGCCCACAAAAATAAGTCCTTCCAAAAGCTATCCCGAACTGAAGGGGCCACAACATAGCGAGGAGAAGAAAGAAAAGAAAGAACGGGGTCCAAAGACCAAGAAGGCTAAGGCGGTGCATGAGCAGGTGGGAGAAAAAATGCATGAGAAAGCTATCAGAATGGAGTGGAAGTAACATCCACCCCGAACACAAGCAGAAGCGGCTCTACCAACGCCATGCGATACGAAACGAAAGTAACAGGCATGGGATGCTAACCCAGAAAAGCCAAGAAAGGACAAAACAACCTGGTACAAAATTGACAAAAACTGTCGGAGAGAAAATGAAGGAAAGACCGCCTAGAAACTCCATACTGTTGCTGAGAAGAAAACTGCAGGTGGGACACCAACAAAGAAGCCACCTAATCACCATACAAAGGGGGGATATACAAGCATCAGAAAATCCAGTCATGTAGTGTAGAGCAGCAAGGTGAACCAGTGAGGTACCTCACCAGCCCGCTCTGCTAAAAAAAGGTGGAGCTGCGGAAAAACTGCCTGGGTTCGGACACCAAGATAGCAGTACCTGAAACCAAGGCTGGGCCAGCCACCATGAAGCCAGGAGAACCACATGCCCCCAAAATGAATCCAGCCGAGTCAGAACCTGGAGCAACAGCAGGACCGGGAGGAAAGAGGGGACAGGAACCCCCATCTTGACAAGTCATTCCAAAATGCGTCTACTGCGAAGGCCTCAGTCAGGGAAACACCCACACCATGCTGGGAGGATACAAAGCCCCAACCGAGAGATGAGGTGTTCATGAACACATCAAGCGAGGGGGGGAGAGGAAGGTACCATGACATTGAACTTCAAAACCCGAAAAGGACTAGTTGCAAGTCGTTTGTTGGTTTCTTTCTAGGGAAGTTACTTATTTTGATCTATTCAGATGTAAATTGCACAGGTTAACCAGACAATGGTCTGTTTTGATTCGCCTAACTTTCTGGGTCCTTTCCCCAGTCGATGGCATTTGTGACACTCTTTAAATGTAAAGTGCTCATAGGCCATTGCTGCCTCGCACCTCTCTGAGGGAGCCAGGTTCTGGCTCGTGGACCCCGGTAGGCATAAGGACTCCTGTGACTGATGACCCCAAACTAATATAGCACATATCGCTTCAGGGAGCCGATGGGACTCCCCACAAAAATATCCGTAGTCTGAACACAAGCACCACCATCATACCCCTTATCTACTACTAGCTCAAGCACCCCTACCACATACAGTACTGTATTGTATAGCAGTTTGCCCAGTTAATACTTTATGACAAAAGATGTTAACCAATGATCAGTTTTGTTATTGTGCCTTTCTCACTTGTTACATAATGCTATCTAAAGCACACTTCACGGCAGAAATAGCATGGTAACGCAGATGAATATTACGGCACCAAGATATCTTTGAAGACACCAAATATGAAACGTTGCAGAAAGGAGGTGAAATGTCCAAATGAGGCTTTATCTCCTACACACATTTCTATTTACCACAAATAGCTTCAGAAATTTAGCGATTGGTTAAATATACTTAAAACTCCATGCTATCTTAGAACGTTACTCACCATTCCTATGTGGTTTCGTAACTCGCTTATAATTACTGTATACCCAATTTTAATTGTTAAACACTTTTCAAATGTTGTATTCTTAATTTTTGTTTGTGAAGATGCACAACTACTTGGAAATTATTTCATATACTGGTAGTTAAAAAGGAATGATACAGAAAGGTTTTTCTGAAATCATTTAATCAACTTGTAACTTTTTTTTTTTTTTTTATAAATAAGCTAATGGCTTCAGTCCTCTAAACTTTCATATACAAAAGTAATTCATGACAATACCCCTGGCTTAACTATCTCTAAATACCAATGCATTAATGGTAAGATAATCTCTAAACACTAAGATCTGCTATACAAGTACACTATTTTACTTTGCTGCTTCCCATTACTTGTGCACATCATCTCCCTTGTTTTTCTAAATTTTGTGTATGTTTATGGAGAAAACCCTCAAATGTACATAGGTGCCTTACAGCTCTTAACAAGAACAGGACTAGGATTTATCAACCATTTACACAACCACTCACAAAACCAGTACATCTTTCAACAATTATGGTGGCGTTGGTTACATTTACTGAACAGATTTCGAGATATGAAGCAATGAAAAGTCCCAACAACGTGGCTGAAAAATTTTGACCAAACCACACACTAGAAATTGTAGACGACAACGACGATGTTTCGGTCCGTTCTGGACCATTATCAAGTCAATTGTGTTGCTTCACAATCCAAGGTTTATTATTATTACAAGCAAGCTTGTAGTGCTTCAGAGATCACAAACTGTTTAATATATGTAAACAAACATGCCATAACTAAGGATGTACAGGTTTCATAAGAAGATGTGTAAAGGCTTGACAACTCCTGAGCCACTAGTCCAGATACACTAGTGTGAAGAGAAACACCAGAAGCTTGTGCTTGAGCAAAATGTTATAGAGAAATTAAAGCTTGTCCCCTATTAAACCCGTGTGTGTGAAGAGAAACACCATTTTGCTCAAGCTTGTGCTTGAGCAAAATGTTCGCTCGGGTACAGATTAACTGTTCACCCCAGAAGCTACAGTGGTAAGCAACATCGGTAAGCAACATCGGTAAGCAACAGCATCGAAGTCCTCCAGCTTAGAATGGTTACACGTTTTTATGTCGCTTCACTTTCCCCACTTGCGATTTGAAATCTGTAATGCTTGAAAACCCCACTGTACATTCTTGTAAACATTTAATTGAATGAATAAATTAAAATATTGATTTGCATTTTTTGCAATTTTTGTGCAAATTGGTTTGCAACTCCCACCCTCCTTCCATCACCAACACTCTGACCCCTCCCTATCTTGATCCTATTGTATTCTTGTGTGATTATGTCTGTCACTGAGGATATATGAGAGTCCTCCAGCCCATCTTCCCGTTTTGAGAGTACGTACCATACTTATAGTAACCATGTCTACCATCATGCATATATTGATGTAATGGACAATTATAAAGTAGAATTTGGTACAACTGAATTTGGACAAACTAGAAAAGATTTTGTATTTATGTTGCTAATAAAACCAAACCTAATCTTAGGCCTAATAATGCTATCCGAGGCCTAATACAGTACATAAATGTGCTATACAAGACATAGGAATATCTAAGTTTGGTTTTTAGCTTTGTTTTGCTGGACTGTACAAAGGGAACAGTACCAAATTCTATTATTCTAATTGCCCATTACATCAATATATGTACGATGGCCCACATAGTTACAAACAAGTATGATCTAAACAGGAGGATGGGCTGGCGTCGTATGTATCAACAAACAACTTTGTCTGCTAGCAGCGACATCACCTGCAAGCCGACACCCCATACTCACACCCATCAACCACTCCCAACACCCATTACCATATAAATACTTGTCAATTTTTTATGCAAATACTTGCCGTGTGAGAAATTAAGGTTCACCTGAACAAGCTTAGTAAAATATTTTAAATATGTATTTATGTATTAGTAATAACAGGAGAAATACCTATGAGGCTTTGAGATAATATGAAAAACATCTTTCTGAACAGCAGATTCAGTTGCTCCACAAGACATGATCCATCTTGGTCCCAAAGGATCATGATATTCAGGGTAAGAGGGCATTCTGTACCAGTGCAACAATGATATTTTCAAATGTCCGTATTGAGTCACACTGATGCTATGGAAGCACTGGATAAAATAACAATCTAGTTCACAGTGACCAAAAAAAATTCACAAACACTTAAAAGCATATCCAAGCCTAACTTGCTACCATAAAGA